CGTATCTGTATCTGTATCCGAGTATCTGTATCTTTGCGAGGGCTAGAATGAAGCTGTGGACAAAATTGCGTGCGTAATTCCCCTTTGTCTCCTACTCCTACTCCTGTCACGAATCACTATTCGTAGGACACATGTTTCACCCGAAAAATACGAAAAGAAGATGAGGATTTCATTGAAGTCTACCTGAATTTCAGGTCCTGTGAGTGTCCTAAGGACATGTTGCCAAACTTCGCTTAAGAACGGAATAAGAACTGTATTTAAAGGTTGGAAAGGATTAATGGAATATGTTCAGAAAACTCCTTTCAATAACTTCCAAATTAAGTCATAATTTGATCCCCATGTACATAATCAAACAGTTTATGTATATCAATCAACTTCAGCTTTCCCCAAGAACCGTGACAAATTGCTGAATAAATTATAATTGGACCAACCCTTCACAAATTTAATCAGCCAAAAACTAGTTGGCGAACCCCCAGGAAGCAAAATCAATACCTCTAGCTAACCCAAAACGAACCCAATTAATGTGTGAAGCTCAAGAAAAACTTGATGAAAAACTCATAAACCAATTGGGCGCCCTTTTACCAAACTGCCAAAAAGCAATCAAGAGAGGGGAAATGCAAAGAAATCGCCTTAAAAAAGAATCAAACTGAGAGAGCGAGTGAGAGAGCTAGGAAAACCAGGATAATTATTCAAACACTTTCAAAGTCAAACATACACACGGGCAGACGTGAAAAGTGTTCCCCTAACGGAAAACGTGGAATTGAAAATGTTTTTGGAAAAACTTTGTCGTTGCAGCAGACGGAAAAAATATAGAGAGGGATGATGATGATGGTTGAGTTTTTCGCTTCTAACCGGGATGTTGCACTCGCAGGGAAGCGAATCGAAACGCGAGTGGAAAAAACATATGCGGGACCTCACGACACAACCATATCCTGTAAATGTCTGGCTGTGTGTGCACATGTGTGTGTTCATTCGCCAGACAAAATAACTGAAAAACGGACGAAGGCGAAGGTTGTTCAACCAACCACCGCCAGGAAAAAGACCAAAAACAGGATAGGGACTTTTTGGATGGGGGGAACAGCAGAACAGCAGCATCAACATCGGCATCAAAATCAGCCGAGAGCAGCTGTTCCAAAAAGTGGATGGCACATACTATACAGTGGGCATTGTGGACGGGAACGCGGAGAATCGTAAATAAAACTATGCAATGTGCACTGCTTTCGTTTTTGGCCCTTCGCACACACATATTTTTGGTGGTTGGACGCGGCCCAAAAGTAAAGGTACGAATGCCATGCGGGAACTGAACTCCCCGACTGAGATTAGGACAGGATTTTCGCCCCGATAGAAATCGGATGGAGGAATTGGGTGTGAGAAGACTGGCTTTGAAAAGTTGAGCCTTAAAATACCCTTGAATATTTAATAGAACTTACGTTTACAACGAAGATTCTTATAGAAATAATGCAAATGACTCTTAAACTGAAACCTTTATTTATAATGGTTTATGGATTTGTCTCTTAACATAAAATTTTTAGGATTTATCCTAACTACTTCATCCTTTAACCTCAAAACACTTAATAATCATTTGGTTTCTTTTAACCCTATGGTCATTGCAAAATCATATAGCAAATCAAAACAAAGAATTTAATTTAAAAACCAACATGTTCTTTATGGTTTTATTAACTTTAAAGTCGTTAAAACCACAATGTACATAATATAGCAATAAAACATAAAGGCCATTAAAAGGTTCTAAATTGTTCTTGACCAAATCAGCTCGTTGCCAGGAACCAGGCAACAGAGGTACGGGTAACTGGCCAAAACAAAGCCAAAGCCAAAGCCGGGGCTGAAAAGAGCCTAAAAATAACAGGAACTGGCTAAGCCAAGTCAGTTGGTGAGTTAGTGACTGAGTGAGCCTAGACCAACCAAAGACACCTTGCCAAGAGGCTGACCGGGCCAAGATGCCAGGGGATGCGATGCCAGGTTGAGGTCCAGAGCTCCGAGAGGCTGAGTCGAGAAGTCCACCGGCCACAATTCGTGCAGGAAGCGGGTTTCATCGATGCAGCAGGCAAAAGGTTTACACTGTCTTTTTACCACCAACCTTCTGTCGGCTCGTCCAGTCGTCCGTCCGTCGGTTCGTCGTCTGCCTGCCTGCCTGCGCACCTCCCAAAACCAGTTGCAGGTAGTTTAAAGTAAAGCCCAAAGATCTTCGCTCATTCGCTCGTCTTTTGGGATACCTTATAGCATATTTCTTATGCGGACTGCTGCGCAACCTGAGTCGCCCGCCGTCTGTCCCGTCCAACCGTACATACCTACATACATCCATACGTTTCGGATACAAATATATACCTACATATATACATATGTATAATTCTCTGTCGTTTCTTGACTCTTTCGAGTCGGTTGCATTGGGAAAATTTCGTAGAACTTTGCCTAGGATTAATTGGTTAAATGTTTGTTGTTCTTGTTTCGTTTCGTTTTTTCTCTAGAGTGCCATTTCTAGGAAAGAAATTATAAATTGAGTAATCTAGCAGTAAGCATCGATTTCGGTTTTTATTAGAACCATTTCAAGTGTTAATGGTTTAGAGGGAGGCAGTTAAAATCAAAGTGGTTTAGGTAATTGCAATGTTGCTGTGACTCATTTGAGAAACGTGAAAATATGTGGGGTTTTCAAAATGCAATCACGAAGTATATCAACTTTATCAAGATTCCAGCTTCTACAATAAAAAGCATTAACTGTTGTCTCAATTCAGTGCAACACCTTGACTAATCAAAAAATTCTCTTAGGAACATGACCAACTAATGCTGCCGTAAAAGTTTTATAAGCGGATTTCTTTAAAGTTTCTATTTTAACTTGGCCATGTTGCCGAAGTTCACCCAAACCAAGAACTACTTAACGACTTGCGCTGCTTTTTTGCGTTGCCCCCACTTCAACCGCGGGGCACTTCCTTCCGCACCTGAAAACCACGCTTCACCTGCTTTTGGGCTTTCCGCACCGCTCCTCAATAACAGGCACCACCTTTAACTAAGAACCCGTAAACAAAAAAAAACAAAAACAAAAAAAAAAATATGTTGCCTAGCCTAGGCTGGCCGGCTGCATCTAACAAGTTCGACATTTGGCACTTGAATTTAACGCCTGATTGCATTTCAGCCTAAGTTTCAGTCTCCCCAGTCACTTCCATGCTTCGCAGGACAGGATCCATCCTTTGCAATCAGCATATATGTAGTCCAACTTCCATAACTTCAACTTCCATGAGTCAAACTTTTTTGAACAACAAATTTATACGTTCATAACTTACTACACAAAACTTAGGCGGAATTACTTGAACTTTTCAAAACTAAAACATAAAAACAACTAAACTTAAAGTAAACCATGCCAAATTATAAGCAATTCATTGTAAATTAGAACTACTTTTAAAATAGATTTCATTTTTATATGGAAACATCACATACATATTCTCCCCAACTTTAAGGAATATAAGAAAAATATGAAACTTGGAATACAACTTCATATTTTAGCGAGTTTGCAACTGGTAGACCTACCACTCCTGATGATTACTTTGTAAAGCCAATCCAAACGTCAACGACTTCATTCTGCGGGTTCCACTTTCAGTTGGCCAAAGCAAATCGCGGGGTTTAAGTTGCTTCAAAGGGAAGGTATCGAGGGATATACTTGAGCCTCTTCTTGGGCTCTTCTAGCTTCGCATAGTTTGCCTTTCCACGCTTTGTGTGTTTCCCTGGGCCTCTCCACTTGTGGCTCGTAGTCTTCGGACTTCGACTTCCTTGTGCCCAAACCCTCGGCCCCCTTGTGTGCCAGTTTTTCACTGGCTTCCCAGCGGACGACCCGACCACTCCCCCACCACCTTTTTGAAAAACCCGCCCGATAAACTGGCCTCACTTTGCGTTTTGATTATAGCCGGAAATGCCGTTTTACACGTGAATGAAATTTGTAAATGCGGCGTTGCCAAACTTCTGTCTACACTACAAATAAATTGATAGGAAGTCGAGTTAAATAAAAAAGTGAGTACAATTTACGTTATGGTTTTTGTTTAACTCAAAACAAACAGTGGATGCACACAAAAGCTATCCTAAATTAAACTGATTAAAGAAATGCAAGTTTTCAATGAACGATCATGGGTCAAACTTTTTGTTTCATTTGAAAGTATAACTGGGCAAATCCATATTTAATATTTTCTTTTTCACTAAGCAAACAAGAAAACAAACAAATATTTGAAGCTAACCCCGTTTAAGCAACAATTAATGTAAAATTTTGCACAGAAATGTAAATCAAAAGAGTCAAGGGGATAGAAAAACAAAGCAGAGAGAGAGGCCGAGAAAAGGAGAGATGGGCAAATAGAAAAAGGCCAAACAGAGGGGAAGACCAAAACATGGAGAGCTCAGCGCTTAGGGTAAGAAATATATTATAGGAAAAATCCACCCTCGGGGGGACACAGCGTTGAAAAATGCACAAAGGCACAAAGCCATGAAGGACAGCCAAGGCCCGGGACTGAGGTTCTGAATCGAAATGAGTACGAGGATGTTGACGTTGCCTGCTGCACAAAACATCAGCGGCAACACAATCAAAAGGGTTACAGAATCAAAGGCCTAAACAGAAGGTTGCTGAACCCACGGCGAGACCGTGACAAAAAAGCACATAGCAAAACGGCAAGGCACCGATGCTGCAAATACCCTTGTCGTCAGATTGTTTATAAAACACCTTGGCTGATATTGTATATAATTGGATTATAGGTACATTAAAAGAGCCACCCATTTCAATCAATATTTCAAAAAACATCTAACGCAATTAAGAGTGACAAGTTACATAGTTTACATATTTCCACTTTATTTTGGAGCAAGATATTACCAAATTATCCTTGTCAAGTTTTAAGGAAATGTTTTAAAGGACCCACTAAATAGCTATGCTCTTCAGCACCCTTTAATTTCGTTTCAATGCCATAGCAACACCCTCTGAATATAATCTGGATTAGATGATAGATCTTGCTTACCAGACAACTCCGAATGCTCCATAGCCGATGGGACGATCCGGCTGGACATCCTGCGGCACGGCCGGCGGTTGATAGTAGGGAGCCGCGGCGGCCAAGATTGCGCTGGCGCCCTGTGGCGCACCACCGGCAGCACCACCCTGTACCAGTGACATCGAAACGCTCATTGATGGACTACGCGGCGGGATTACCAAATAGTTCGAGCAGCTGCACCCGTTTCTGGTATTTCTTGACGATGGAGCTCAGTTGTAGTGGTTGTGGTTCTGCTGGGCCCGTCGTCTTCGTCCTCGTTGCGGCGGTGGTGGTTTGGACTGTGTTTTGGACTGTGGTTCTTCTGGTTCCCCAAGTGGTGGTGGTGGCAATGGTGGCGGCGGTGGTGGTGCTTGATTTGATGTGGGAGAAATGGTGTTGATTGCTCAATGGATGCCGCTGGGGGCCACTGATGGCCGCCATTCAATTGTTGGCCATTTGTTGCTGTTTGGTGTGCTTCTATTCAGCGCTATTCTTTTCGCTGCGTGTTGTTCGCGTCGCTTATTACACTTTTTACTTATTTAAATGAGATTCGAGGACATTGTGAAGAACTGTAGAGTGAAGAGGGGAGATAAACAAACTTTATTCGTTAGGTGTTTTCCTTTTAGATTGGTAAATTAAATGGTAAATACTTCAAATGTTGTAAGGGGAAAGTCAAATTTTCTTTGCGATGGAATTAGGTTGACAAACAATTTTATATTTATGGGGACAGTTTTTGCACATCCTTATATATTAAGTTTTTTGTTTCTTTCTTCATTACTTGGACAACATTTTTAAATTAAAGTTTCTATTTCTGGTAAATGAAACATTATTTTTTAAGATAAATAAAAAGAAAATTAAAAATAAAATAAAATTCAAAGGATTTTTATGAAACACTTTCAGAACACTGTCATTTATGTTAAGCTGTTCTAAAATTCCGTTTGTGTACTTTTCACTGTAGTTTTAATTGCCATTACTTTTGTTTGCTTTTAAAATTTTTGGTGGCAAATGAAGCTGCACAAGAAAAAAGACAAGAGAGAGCTCGAGAGAGAGGACATGAAAAGTGCCGTTAGCTGTCGCGACCGGGGCGCGTCCGTGTATTACAGTTGTAAATGTGTGCGGGTGTTGTTTAACTGTGTGTGCGCATGTGAGTGCGAATCTGAGTGATTTTTCGACTGCGCTGCCTGCGCAAAAAGCCGCTCAAACGCAAAAATCGCACTTAAATCACTAAAAACTAGACTTTTTCAGCAATTTGCAACATTTTTGAGGCCAAACAATGATGAGAGCGCAACTTGCCAGCCAGAGCCAAACAAACAAAAAATTTACTCGAATGAAAGCGCATAACAACGGGATAAAAGAAATTAGCCCCGGGATAGGTTGTATTTCCCAGGGTCTAGCTTAGCTTTTCCGCACTATGCAAACGTAGGATTTCCCTTTGATTTACCTTAAAAAATGCACAATTTATTGAGCACCGACGGTGGCAGTTTTTGGTATTTATTATTTTATTACTGTGTATTATTTTGTAACTCTTCCGTCTTTGCGAGAGTGAGACAGACAAAAACGCGCCGGGGGTAATATTCGTGCGTGTGTGTGAGAGAGAGAGAAAGAGGGAGATACAATTTTGTAATTTTTGTTAATTATTATTGTTAAAACGCGAGACGAATTTTTGTTGTTGTTTGCTGTGTTACTACTACTACCGCGACGGCTGCTCACACACACACACAATCTTACACGCACGTTTATACAATATGTATATGTAGATGCAAGCAGAGGCAGACAAACAAACAATTTGCCTGGGTCACGTTTCTTGGCTCTCTCGCAGCTTTTATTGCCTTTATTGCATTATCTTTGTTATCACACGACCGCGGGGCGTGGCATTGGGGGCGGGCGGCAATGGCGGTGGCGTTCAATTACCTCGCAGCTTCCCTTCAACTCCCTGTAACTCTAAAACTTCGATTTTCGATCACACGCGGCGTCTGCTCCACCGATTTTCCGATTTCGCTTCGTGCGCTCGCTAGTTCCGTTGTTCCGCAGCGTTCGAAAGTTGAGAGGGGACTTGAACATATGTTCCTATGTTTGCGAACAGGCAGGCATTTTCTGAGGTATTTTGGCTCTCTTGCCGCGGCTGGTAACACTGATCGTAGAGATGAGCATTTCCTCGTGACACGGCCTGCTTGGTAATACTGATTTGTTAGGCTAATTTAAGAAACAGTAATTTGATATTCAAGGACAGTTTTTTTTTGTTTTAAAATTTTTGAAGTTCAATTTGACAAAATTCCCTCTAAATTGTCTGTTTTGTGTAAATTGATGTCGTGCCATCTCTGGTTTGGAGGTAAACTCCACTAAAAGTTTCATCGCTTCAGAAAACTATGCGGCTATAACTGCATAAGTTAAAAAAACCTTATTTATTAAAAAATGTTTAGCATGAAGTGAAAAACAATAAAAACATAAAGTTCTGAAAAATAAAGGTTATTTAAGACGAAGGCCGCAAACTTCAAAATGTTACCCATTTCGTGAACCTTATGTGCGTGGTGGCAACGCTTTAGTATTTTTCTTATCATAATATACGAAAACATCAATACAAGGCATGGGATACATGTCCCATCCCTATTGAGGATTCTCAGTTTGTTTTGGTTTTGAAAATGGAGCACGCGACAAATGACTTGAAGGAGTTTATCACGGACCTGGTGATTCCACACCAACGCTACAGTGTGAACATTAACCCGGACCACATCACCATGCTGGATGGCACCAAAATCAAGAAGCAGCTTTCACGCAAACGCCGTCCAAACAAATCGTCGACGCTAAGCCGCAAGGAATATGCCAAACTTGGATTAAATACACTCCCGACCAAGCAGATGAAATACGAGGAGGCCTTGCCACTTCATAATCTCTGGAAGGGATATGTCCGGGAGCATCTGGAGCTGAGGGAAGGAGACGAGGTGCCACAAGTTCATGATCCTCGTTACGAGGAGTTCAGCAAGCAGCTTGTTAAACTGGACTTACATGGCGCCAAGCTAAAAGTCCTGCAATCCAAATGTCGCACGCTAGAGAATCTTTCTGGAATATGTGTCATGGACACCAAGAACGTTCTGAAACTCCTCGGCGAGGACCACCGGATTAGAACAATTCCCAAGAGCGAGTGCGTTTTCGGCTTAAAAGTGGGCAACATGGATTTCACCATTTTCGGACAGCACCTGAACATTCGACCTGCCGAGCGCAGCGTGAAGAAGATAAAGAACTTTGTGGAGCCCTTCATGTAGGAACCTTAAACCTATCGCTAGCCTAAGAACTGAACTGGAACCTTTTGAATGTTACATTTAACTTTCGAAAAACTTATTTTATTCGAGAGACTTGCGAGTCTATAAAATAAACTTATGATTTTGAGAACTCCGAAAAAAGTTAGCTATTGAAATTAAAATATTTAAAGCTTTTTTCAAAAATACCCACTTCTAATTTAGTTATTCTTTTTTAATACATATATAAAACCGTACATTAAATGATTTTTTTTTTGGGAATATCGCGCCGCGTTTCGTTTGTTTTAGATTCTAGACCTTTTTTTTTAGTTTTGGGGAAGGTTCCCTGCTTGCCCATTTATGCGGTCGTTTTGGTCATGGTAATGACGGCGGATGGAACCAAGCCGAGAACCTCCAGCGGCTTCTCATAATCCTCTTCGGCGAACAGTTTACGCGGAAAGGTGGTCATCAGGGAGAAGGGTGACTCGATGCCGGTTTTCATCTGAATAAACACGCGTACGGCAGACAGTTGTTCCTTGACGTTGAAGGTCTCCTGCAAGGTGGAACCATCCTGCAGGCGCACCTGTATGCGAGTTTCGGTGTAGTCTCGAGGTGGAGATTTTACAGCTGCTGGTGGCGACGAAACAGTGGTGGAGCTCACGGACGGTGTTGGCTCCTTGTTACCCAATTCCTTTTGTTCTCTGTAGGTGAAGGTAGGATGGTAAAATAAAAGTGATTATGACGAATTTGTTTACTAAACCCCACCTGGCCTTGCGTGCCGCCTTGTCCGCCTCGATTTGTGCCCTCACCCGATCGCGGGCCGCCTTCTCCTCGTCTTTTTCACGCTTGCGCTGCTCCACGATCTTCTTCATCTCGAGCTCCTCCATGCGCCGCTTGGCCTCTGTCATGTCCTTTCCAGATTTTATACGATTCTTTTCGCGCTGCAGTGCTTCGGTTTTCTCGCGCTCCTCGCGTTCTATGCGCTTCTGCTTGAGCTTTTCCTCGATGAGAGCCAATTGGGCCTTTTTCTCCTCCTCGGTGAGTGCCTTCTTCTCCTCTGTAGATTCGGAGAAGTTGCTGTGCCCGGTTTTGGCCGCATGGTACTCCACTTCTGTGTGATCCTTGAGTACCTTGCCGCAGTCATCGCATTTCAGGGATTTTGCCACCGGGGCATCTGAGGAGGTTTCATCGGCACCACTTGTGCTGCTGGAAGCTGCTGCGGCCGAGGGGTCCTCACCGGAACCGGTTGCGGGAACTCCGGAAACAGGGGAATTCCCGGCATTCTGACGGGAAGGTATCGGGTCATCTACGTGGGCCAAAAGCCATTCCATGGCGGGTTCCACTCCCTTGTTGCTGGTCACCTGCAGTGCATATTCCCTGCGGAAAATTCCAGGGAAAACCAAAGTAAATTTTCGCAAACCAACTTTTGCCGGTGGGAAATGGGTTGAGTTTTGGGCACTTACACACGTTCTCGGGGGAAGCCCATGTCCATAAGGGTCTGCACTTCACTCATGGTGTTTCTTTGAGGTTGTCCAATAAAAATAAAGCCTGATATTGAAATTTAATTTACAATGACACACAAAAACAAAGCTAGGCGCAAGTGCTGGGAAGTGCAGATGAGAAATAGTTGGTTCAGTGCTGCGAACTATCGATAGTTGCAAGAACAGATGAAATAACAGTTGTGTTTTACAAGTTTCTCAGCGCACTCAAAATTAAACAAATGTTTTTATTGCAAATTGAGAATACAATATACTTTCTTAACGTGAAGTTAAACCAGTTAAATCTTTCAATCTTCATTATAAGATTTGAAGTTAGCTAGAAAATAGCCAGAGGCTTATCGAGTAGTTTCTCACTATCGATATTTTACTCCGGCCTACGGCGTTTTCCAACACTGCCGATTTAGCGTCTCTGCAGCCTCGAAAATTGCTGCATTTTTTTTTTCTACTTTGATAGAGACATTTTCAGACTTCCAGCAAAACGATGTCGCCGAAGACAAAGAAAATGGTAGTCAAGATCCCACGACACCCGTACTTCACCGTACAGGGCGAACGAAGCGTAGAAAGAGAGGTGGAGTACCAGGTGCGAAAGTGTCGTGTGAATTTGGAGCGCATTAAGTCCTCGAGCACCCCGACTTCTCGGCCATTCCCGTTGAAACCAAAGCCAAAGAGATGCATTGTACGTGTGGCCCGACTGCCGAATGTGGAACGCAGTGAGATTTCCGTAACCCCGGCCAGCTCCATAATTAACTCCGACATCGACGAGGGTAAGCGACAAGGTCTTGCGAAACACCCAGAAATTTCGTGTTAAGGGGGCCTCTTTACCTCAAGCAATAGTTTTAATGTTTTGTTTCATTTCAGGTAACTCCAGCGAATAGCAACAAATTTTTAGGACTAAAGACAGGCCCGACTTGTCCTCTTCATCATCACCTATCCTCAGAAACCCTAACTACTCAATTTGACTTTTAACTTGTCTAGTTAAATATGGGTTACCCGCAGCATTCAATCCGCGTATCCAGTAATTATAAACCTCCTAAGACTGCGGAAGAGATTCATCTTATACAATACAACAAAATTTAAAATAAATTTGAACTTTTAATGCTGGAATTGGTTTTATTAAAATAGTTTTGTTTGTTAAATGTCTATTTTTTTTTTATTAAACTTTTACTTTATCCTGTTTTGTCGTTTCTTTACAGTTTGTCTATTATTTGTTATTTGATTTCTTGACAAAAGTTTCCTGTAAGCAATATATGTATGTACGAAAACAGAAATTATATTCTAATAAATAAATATGTAATATCATGCTTCATTTTTTACTAATAGTTAAAATTTATTTTAAAAAGCAGCGGTAAAGTAAGATGTTATCGAATATTTTAATCGAAACAATACCATTTCAACAAAAAGTAAATTGCAAAAAAAATACATTTTACAAAACAAAAAAACGGAAAGCGACTATTATTAAAATCAATAATATTAAAAAAAACAGGTTGTTTTTTTTTTTAGTCTTTATCGATATTTGGATATAATCGATAAGGTCGAGAGTCAGCTGTCACCAGAAAAATATTTCTGGAATAACAAAAACAGGCAAAATTACCCGTATCCGATCCGAGTCGAAAAACAAATCCTCACCATGAACTGGCACACGGGCAACATTGCGGAAGCCGTGGCGGAATCGAAGGCCAAAGACGCCATCTTCGTAGTCTTCATTGAGGGTAATTAGAGACCTTTTCGGTTTTACCCATTTTCACCACGTCATTCTTGCGAATTTTCACCGGACTTGCAGGGCAGGATGAGATGTCCAGAAAGCTGGAGAGGTTCGTGGACGACGGCCTAGTGCGTTCCAGACTGGAAACCTCCGATTTTGTGGCCATCAAAGTCCAGGGAAATAGCTCTGCCTACGGACAGTTCATGTCGCTATGTGGGTATCTTTGAACATCATTATTTCCAGATCTGTAAATATTTATATTTGGTTATCCAGACAAAGTCGTTCCCGTGCCTTCGCTCTTTTTCATCGGGAAATCGGGCACGCCTCTGGAAATCGCGACTGGAATAACTGCCAGCGTAGATGAACTCATCGCCAAGATCGACAAGGTCCTAATCCTGGCGGGAAAACGAACGGAGCCACAGCCAGTCAGCAGTAGCTCGTCAATTGTTGACGGGTTGGAGCCCAATACGGTTAGGAGCTTCGCCGGAGCAGATGACTCAACCAGTTTGAGCAACAAAGAATCAGTTGAAACAGGTAGTTAAAGATCACATTTAGTTTGCAAAAAAAAAGTTAAAAACCCAATATTTAAACTTGACTGCTTCCTGTTTTGAATTATATTTATTTTAAAGTTAACTCCTAAAAATACTTTTAATAATTCAGCTCCAGAAACCAATTCAGTTTCCAACGCAGCAACTGAATTAGGAGACCCTAAATCCAATCCTCCGAATTCACCTGCAACAAGCAGTTACGCCTCGATCCCTGCAGACGTATCAACGTCCAGTTTGGAAGCTAAATCAGGTTCAGAGGAAGAGATCACTACTATTTCCCCAGCTGTTTTGGCAGCCGAACAGAGGGCTTCGGCCAGCAAAGTGGATGACTCGGCATCAACATCTGGAGCAGTTGCCCGAAATTTGGCCACATCTAATCTCATGCCGGCGGTTCCACTACTTACACCTGCTGTTCCAGTTTCCGTTCAGCCACCGCCGGAAACTCAGGGACCCACAGAATCCGAGGAAAGACTGGCGGAAGCTCGGAAACTCCTGGAGGAGAAGCGAAGAGAGCGCATAGAAGAGGAGAAGCGCCGCGAGAAGGAGACCGAGCTGAGGCGGCGAAGGGAGGGAAGGGAGGCACAGACCCAGCAGGCAAGGAACAAGGAACTGGAGCTTAGGAACATGCAGGTGAAAACAAAATAACCTTGAGCTACCCTGGGATTATTTACACCAGAAAGATTATTGCTAATTTTAGTCTAGATAGATTGTAAAAGTTATAAATTTTTTTTATAACATTATTATGTTTATTTCCCCTTAAGGAACAAATTCGCCGAGAGCGTCTGGAGGAGCAGCAGGCAAGGGAGCGCATCCGCGCGCAAATTGCCGCCGATCGGGCAGAGCAGGCGCAACGTCTCCTCGTTTCAGCGGATGTTAACAGCACTACTAACTCGGTGGGGGCCACCGCAACATCCAACGCTATACCAACCGAGTCCTCGAGAAGTTCCGTGGACGAGACGAGGCTGCAGATCCGCCTGCCCGGTGGCCTTCAGCGCACCAAAACCTTTCCGGCCAGCGATGCTCTGGCCACCGTGCGTGTCTACGTGCGAAACGAGCTGCTGGCAGCGAGCGATGTGCGTGACTTCACCCTGGCCACAAGTTATCCTCGGAGGGAATTCCAAACGGAAGACGAGGTCAAGACCTTGACCGAGCTGAATCTGGTGCCCAATGCGGTGGTTCTGGTGCTGACTAAGGATCAAGTGAATCGCGTGGTCCGGAGCGGTGGCTCCTGATGACAATGCTGGCCACCGTCATTTGGGCAATGATTACACCTGCAGCCAAGGCCTTCGAATACATTCACAAGATGGGACTGCGCCCGCTCACCCAGAAGTTGTCCGAGCTGATGGGTAGTATTGGTTGGACAGGACGTCAGGCCGATGTCGAAGTTGACGCGGGACATGCGTTAGTATTCTATCTTTGTATGCAATGCTTACTTTTAAACCTTTCTCTTGACCTTTTAGTGCTGCTCGCCGTAACATGGACCTATTTTCCCTGCGACCGACTCCAGCACCAGGCTACGAATACGATGAGCCTTCAACATCACATGAAGCGAGGCCCATGTCCACGCCAGGAAGCGGGGAAGCCGATAGGCCCACGCCGCAGACGCAACCGGGTCCAGGAAGTACACCGCAGGCTCATAACACCAGCCAGGCATCCGGCTCCCAGTCACAACAGTTCCAACAGCGACCCGGTGGTTATCAGCCGCCAAGATATGGGGATGCGAACATAAGACGGCTACAGGATACTAAGAAAGACGACAAGGATAAGGACAAGGCCACGTACAACGGGAATTCCACGCAGCAGCAGTAAAACAATTTTTTCCAGCAATCTGTTCGACGACAGTCTTTAGATATCAAACCTATATGATAACCTGTTATGCTAAATTTAATTATACCAACTTAATATTCCGAAATTTCAATTCGATGTGTTTTTATTAAACAAATGTGAACTTAATAACTAGTTAGAGATAAAGAAAAGTAGGTCAGCCTAAAGTCATTTGCCCTAAGCAGCAGTTTCCATTTAAATTAGGCTGTCAAAAATATCCGCTTAATAAAATGTGGAAAATCATAAGATTTTGTTCACTCAAATTAAGATTAATTTTGATTTACATTTCGAGAACTCGTTTAATTAAATTCACAGTATGTATTCCAAAAATAATAAGTTGTCTTTTCAAGGAAAGGATTACTTATAGCCTTTGAGGAAGTTATCCATTTAGATGGACACCAACTTATTTAAACTAAATATAATGTCAACAAAAGAGAACTTATAAAGTGGAAGATCTGCCATGCTTTAAATCGCGAGTTGTTTTTAATTTTGTTTAAATTAAATAATACCAGCGAATTAGGGGTAAATAACCAATGAGGGAAGTGCGGGTACATATTTTTGGGCAATGATAATGTAAAATACACTTCTTTTGTTATAAATTTACTAGATTTGCAGCTATATAATATGCGTTCTTTATCGCTTGTGATAGTTAAGCTCCGGAATCTCCAGTACACGAAATCAGTGGAAGAATCAAAAATAGTGGAGTTAACGTTGAGTCCTCCTAAGGCGCGCCTCACAATACTTCCTATAAAAGCCCCGTTTACAAGGTGAACCACATGAGGAACTGCAGCAGCTTGTAGACATTGACCAGGGGTAACTTCCAATTGCTTTTCCTTTGGAGAGGTGGCACCAAACTGGGATAGTGGACCAGGCTACCGATATGGCAATTGGTGATGATAACGCCTCCGGGAACGCCAACGGGCACGGCATCACCTTGCTTGACACCATCGCAGTCGATCAGCTCCAGGGATTTGTTAAAGCAAATACGAATCTCGGAGAGATAACTGATGCCGTGCTTGCCATCGTACAAGCAATGGATCGAGGGATTCTTGCCCAGCACCTTGACTATGGCATTATTGATGGCAGCCACTGTGTTATTGGAGTCGGGGTGGATGTCGGACGCATCCAGGATCCGAGACATGATGTACTTCTCCCGCCAAGTCAGTCCCATTTCAAAATATTTCAGTTCGCTGTCCATTTCCTCCAAAGCCATGGCACAAGTTCCGTGCTTCTGCCACTCGTGTTTCCACAACCATTCCGTTGTGTCCATTCCCTTAAGATCTGGCCAATAGATTTCCAAATCATCCTCAATGGGATTCAGTTTGTCCGGATTAAAGGTGGCTGAGTTATTACAGAAGTTTGGTCCCATTTGGTGCAGTTTCGTGGGCCAAATGCCGTGAATGGTCCAGAACTCCTTCTTTTGGGGCAGCGTGCACTCCTGGTCGGGATTATCCTCGCGCCAATGATAGCAGGTAGTCACCGGCCATTGTTGCGTGAATATCAGGACATCCCAGTTATGATCTTGAACGGATATCTTCGTTGGATCCTGCAGTGATTCATCTTCATCCTTGAAGGGAAACCCATCGAATTCACTGTCTTCGTCTGGATTTTTCTGTGGTCTCTCATCCACCGAAGTTGATTCATCTAAATCCGATATGTCGCTATAATGGGAAATCGGAGACAATGAGTAATTGCACTGTTTTTCAGGGGCTTTTGTTTATTGTTAGACGATAGCTGGATAAATGGGTCAACCTTGAACTTGAGCGTTACGGATAGCTTTGATATATAGTTTTGGTTGGTTAGCAAGAGTCCAGTAAAGTTTCCAATAATACTATCGAGTATTCTAAATTTCCTCCTTTTCAACTCACCTTAAAGGCGTCGATTTTATGGTCACCAGAAAACAGGCCAAAATGGCCACAAATAGAAACCGCTCGCTCCGCATTTTGTTGAAAAACAAAAATAATAATAACTGCGATGCAAAAAACTTGGGCGCTATCGATACATCGACTGCTTGACTGTCAACCCATCGACAAACTAACTATCGATGTTGGTATTTTTTTATTGACTATTCGATTTTAATACCGCAACTTTGGCGCCATATTTGAATTTAAACCAACTGTAATAATTGATGTTTTGTTTTTACAAGTAATTAAAAAAGAACGCATATGCTGTTCATCAGATGTACTTTGAAAGGTCTCCTCTTTCGCTTTTTAATTTGTTTTCAATACTCTGGTTAAAATCACTTGGTCACAACATGATTAAAATATAAAACTAAGCATTAGCTGTGAAATTGGTTTTCTTGAGGTCAAATACTTCCAGGTGCACCCCTAAAAAGCGTATTAATTTTACGGCCCATCAAAGAAATCAAGAGCCAAGTTGGTTAATAAATTCCAAAGACTTATCGCAAAGTTTAAAAGAAAAAACGAGAAACAATTGTTTCGGCTGATTAGGATTTATGAAATACTTCGCCAGCTTGTCTGCTTTGACTTTCCAGCGAGTCTGTGTCTTTAAAATCCCCTGGCCACCGGTGATAAGATTCCAAAATTGTGTGCTTCTGTTTTCCTTTTTAGTCATCCAACTTTAATTAGTGACAACGATAATTACACATTGCAATGTTGCTGTTGTCTTTTATCTGTTCTGGTGTTGACTTCTGTTGAAAACCCAATGACTACAGCTACAACAGCGGCAGCAACAACAAATAATGACAACGATTGCTTAGCAATTGGTTATTGCTTAACTGTACTTTGTACTTTTGATGATCCCCCACTTTTTGGATGGGGTTAGTTTGTCTTTGAAGGGAGTGGAACCCTCCCGATGGGGTGGCCTAATGAGCGGCCAGCTGTCGGAATTCCAGACAAGTGGGGTAAAACTGTCACACTTAATGCTCCATAATTGTAAGGGGTAAAAACAGGGAAAGAAGGGTATAACTAGTTGGATATATAAATTCATATTAAATTCATCATAAAAAATCACTTGTTTCCTATAAATAGAAAAGAATACAACCAATGACCTACTTTTATTTTTATATAATATCTTGTTATATAATAAAAAATCAAAATTATTATTCATAACTTCGTTACAGGGTAAAGAGTAGAACCTTTCACCTATTTTTATCCACCATGTTTAATCAATTTATCAAATTCAATTAGTTCGATTCGGAGCGATAAAACTCATTTACATGACGAACTCAGTTCTAATCTATAACCCCCATTTCGGCGGTTCTCGTACACCATATTCAAACAAATTCCAGCTCATGTCTGGGGATTTTATCAACAATATTTGTGATTATTTTCGTGTCATGTTTTTGTAAGCCAGCATTCTGGTAGCGAGCTTTTATGCAGATTTGTGAGTGGGGACTTTTGTTTGATGACAAATTAATTTAATAATAACAGCTGCAAAAACATTTTGTAATCAACTTTTGCCCCCACAGAAACTTAACAATTATCCTCGATGTACAATCAATTAATGTTGTTTTTTAGATAGCGACCGTGGGTTAATGAAGTTTGGTTTTCGGTGCAGGAAAATGGTTTTCCTTTCATTTGAAATAACTTTCTTTCGGCTGGGTAATAAATTAAAAAAATTTTCTCTCTCCTTTAGTTTTTTGTGCTCTTTTTATAATCAACGCCATCATCATTATCAACGTTAGCAGCATCAAGGGGAATTTCTTTTGAGACATTTTTTATTTTGGAAGAAGCCATCTCTCTTTTTCGCTCGCTCTTTCTTCTTTTTACTTTCCCCTTTCTCCTTTCCTTCAGCGCCTGCGCAAGCGAGAGGGAGAGAGAGAGCTTCATTTTTGTGGGAGGAGTCTAGGCTTGGCTTTATATAGAGTTTTCCGGCGGGGGACTCCCGGTAATTGCTTCAATTTGGCGTACATATCCGGATCCGCTTTCCATCCTCCCCCTTATTTTTCACTTCTCTTTTTCCGGCTTCCTTCGTTGGTTGTTTTTGTGCAATTGCTGTGTAAATGGCATGAGAATGATAATTGTAGCAATTATAATATTAAATTGGGAGATCATGGCTCACAGGGTTTTCCCTCCCAACATCCTCGTTTCGCTCTCCCTTTTTTATGTAGCATACTTTTTTGCTGTCATCGCCGTAGCTTTTCCTACTCCCTTCGCTTCCTTGGGGGATTTTTACTCTCGACTGCTGTGTATTCTACCGGATTTGTTTGTTAATTAGAATTCTAGCGTTGAAATTAAAATGCTCACTCCACCGAGGCCCCAAATGGAATGGAACTGTTGGCGGAAAACTTCAACTAGTTTTTCGGGGCGTTGGCTCCGAGGGGAATTTCCCACTGCCGTTTTTTATTTGTCTGCCTCTGCTCTTAATTACTGCAGTTTATTTTCTAAGTGAGACTAATTAACAGGCAATTCGCAGCATTGCGGCACATTTTGCTCTTTTTCGGCAAAAGATTTCCACTTTTTGTGTGTGAGAGTGGTCAACATTTCGGGCTAGTTAGTCGGTTGTGATAGCCATGGACTAGAAAGTTTTCGAGGACATTTGCCAACTTTCCACATGTGTAGTTTCGTAGTCGAAAGTTGCCTGTGGGCAATTAGTTGCAGTCCTACTTGAAGCCAAGTCGTAGAAAATTGTATTCTTTTTAAGATTAAATAATGTTTTGGAGGCCAATTTTTCTTAATTTGAGATGAAGTTCAAAAATCAATGAAGAACTTTGATTTCTTATACTTAGCTTTTTTAGTTTTAACTTAAAAAATATAATTTTAGTTGGCACAACAGACAACTTTCTTTAGGTAAATAAATATTCTTCTTTACTCTTGGTGCTTCAAGAAATAAAACAAAAAATAGTTAATCGAGAGTTCGCTGGATTTGTGGCGAACTGAACTAGACATTGATTTGCCACCTGGGTTCGTACAATTATACCTTCGTCGTAACCTTCCCCCGACTTCCTGCCCTCAACTGTGCCACAAATTTACGTTATTAGTGCAGCATTAGACGCTCGGCTAATTATCAACACTGTCTGAGGCGCAAAAAGCCCGCTTAACCTCCACCTATCCACCTATTCTGTTGCCGCCATCAGCAACAGTCCACCACCGTTTGCCATTTGAATGGCGCCCCTTTCAGTTCAGTTCAGTTCAGCACCACCCCCAAGCTCTCCATCTCCCCACCTCCCCACCCACCGGACATAAAACATGGCTCCCAAAACCACCCGGAATCACCCACTCACCCACTCACGCACACACGTAGAGCACAACCCTCGCACGTTAATGAACGTAAAATTCACTTAATTCCAACTTTAGCCATGAATTAAGCACGACAAATGGACGTTAAGAGGATGGTAAAGTGGGTGGTGGTAAAGTGGCTTTCAGTGGGCGGGAAAAATGGGTGGGATTTCCCCCAGCAGAGTAGTGGGTGTAATGCTGAGAGGGATCCCCGGGACAAATAAGCACAAAGACGTGCCAAGAGACGTGCAAAAAGCTCTGGAGCGAGTTGGGAAAATGGAAAAGAGACAGTCGCAGGATGAGACAGAGTCGAACAATAAGTAAATGTGCTTTTATGGCTCTTAATTAAGGCAATGATGGGGTGTTTTAATACGTTTGCCAAATGTTAAATGACAAACTGCCAGTCGACGACTCGTCGTTATGGTCCCAGCTTCCGATCCACTCGCTCTCATTTACAGAGAAAACAATTATAATCCGGCAATAATAATTTAAATATAAATAATAAATCATAATAACTCAGTACTTATTCTTCAAACTAAAACAGTTCTAATGCAAACCTTTAAAATGGTATGTTAAATGATTACCCAGAAAAAAAAAAAAAAAAAAATTATTATCCATAATGTGGATATTCTTTAAAATTATGTTTTTTTTTCAGTGCACACACACTTACTCACACACATGTGCGTTAATGAAGCTGCTACGAAAGCGGTTTGGAAGCTTTTCCTTTCAGTTTACCCTTGTCCTTTTTTTTTATAATTTTCCCTGCAAAGTCAGAGGCTTTTCTTTTTGCCGCTTCTGTAAATTGTCTGCCACCTCGGCCCATCCTTTGACTTATTGCCCGGACTGGTCTATAGATTTATGACGCGCAGTGTGCACTTGGCATGCTTAATGAGCAATTGCGCCGACACTTTCAGTCCACTTTGAGTTGTCCTCAAGAATGGAAATGGGTCTGGGAATCATCCCAAATTTTATGGCTGATTGAGCGAATTGAAATTTCTCGTCTGGGTTGGTTTTATGATTTGTAAACGTTTATCTTAACAAGTTTATGGCTACATTTCGGGCCGAGACAGCCTAAAATGGCCCCAATTTGTGGCTTTTTGTGAGGGCCATGTGTGTATATCGTAAAAATCTCTGTGGCACATAAAAATCCAAATGCGCCATTTGCAAGGCTGGCAAAATAACATTTTCAACACTTTTTGTTTGATTAATCAAATGTATGTGAAGCCGAGGGGCTGGATTTTCAGACAGGACCAGTATCTATTTTAGCCCAGCCCACTTTCCCCCACCCCCTTGACATTTAGTCCTTATTAGTATGCCACGCACGTTCTTCAAAGCAAAAAAAATAGAAAACAAACGGAAACAAAACAAAAGCAGCAACAAAGCGGAAACGGAAAAAGAGACCAACCAAACAATCATCTAAAAAATGGCGTAGACCCTGGTTCTTTTTATGATTTATTTATATATTCAAAACAAATGCAATTGGGTTTATTACACATCAATAAGCTCCAACGACCAACAAAGCAAAAATTTGCGGTGCGTGTTCCGGGCGATATAGGAAAAAATGGAGGATGAATTGATTTACATGGAATATGTATAAATATCCATGACGGCCGCAAACGTGATCAAATTATGGATGATTGGGGATACGATTAGAATAGCAATGATATCTCTAGATTAGGGAACATTTAATGCAACAAAAATTATATATACTAGTTTTCCCCTTATTTAAACATTAATTAGAAACAAAGCATAACTTAAAACTTCAAGTGCCTGTTGGTAGTTTGATCACAAAACTCATCTGCGAATCTTGCAGCT